AAATACTACACACGGGTACATGTTAATAGGGGCATGTACAAATATACCACGTTAATTCATAGGACCAAAAGCCGGATATTCAACCTTTGAAACAAAAGGCAATACGTTGGTAAATGCATGCGATGATTTCCGCATTTGGTAATATGACATCGGTGATATGAACTAATTAGCCTTTATTCAATACGAAGGAACACCTTTAATGTATGTATTTACAAATATTCATGCATATATTCTTGTTCATTATACTCCACGGCATGAGCCTGCTGTGAAACTGAGGGTGGCCAGTCCTCCTGCTCCGAGGGTACAGGTCACAGGTGAGGATTTACCATCCGCGTTGAACCAGAAGGAGACAGTTTCGTGGGCAGCTCCAGTGAGGCTGATGGTGATGTCATCGGCAATATTGATGTCCGTGACTCTCTGGGGTGACATCGGCACCCACTTGTCTAACTCACCCTGGATGAGAACTTGTTCGCTGTAATAAAACAATTACATAGCTGTTTAGACTTATCAGACATTCAGGAAACATATGAATTGATCTTTAGCAACCTATGGTTGTCGTAAGAGGCAACTAATGGTCAAGTTCGCTGACTTGGTTGACCCGTGTCATCGCATCCCGATTGCGTAGATGGATGCTTATCACTGGATTGTCTGGTCCCGACTCAATAATTTACAAACCGCAGTCATATAGCTGGAACATTGCTGAGCGTGGCGTTAAACAACAAACAAACATCAGAGAGCAAGTAAGGTTATCTTCAATCCCTTTAAGTCGCATTTCCCCCCAAAAGTAAATATATTCACTGGTTGATAACGTTTGGGATATGATTGAAATGAAGGAAACACCTACCCATTGACGGTCAGTACAGGTGATACATAGAAGAGACAGAAGTCAGTCATGGTACAGCCACTCATTGTCAAAGGCTGGGGGTCTGTCAAGGGCTGGATCTTGTTGGGATTATTCGCAGGGAAAACCATGGAGTTTGGAAACTGGAAACATTAACGTGAATTTTATTTGCATACCTGATTATATTTACAGATATATTTTTGAAACATTGAACATATCTTGAAATCAATTAAAGGGAGAAAGACTATGATATCCTACCCCTTGATATCCAGCCATGCAGGGTGTCATAGTGTAGCTTCCCTGTAGATCTGCAGCGAGGATGATACCGTACTTGTTATCTCCACCAAAGTCTGAATACGTGGACCACACCTCCCCATCAGGACCCTCAAAGTCTGACCAGGCCATCTAGAAGACATGCATCATAAGGAACGCTCTTTTTTTCAAGGCATTATCACTGGCAACAGTTATTGTGAAATGAGTTTTTAATTGCTCATTGTAAATTTTGTGAATGAATTCTTTTCCGGAGAAAATATGTGTTAAAACCAAAAGAAACGTAACCACACAGTTATAAAAAGAAACAACCTATTCGAGAAATGGCCACCAGTGTTCATTTGAAGAAGACAGAAAACCAGAGGCTTATCATATCAACTCACTGCCGTCTTAAGAAGTGCAGAAATCAGAATAACATAATCTGTTTCCATCGTCCTGGAACAAATTTGACATTCCCATCTTTGGGGAAAATGACAGATGGGAATCGATGGGTACTATTCAGACGCCAGAACATCTCCATTGGCGCCATCAGCACTTAGGATTGTGAGCAAGTGAGTGGAATAGAGGCCTCTTTACCGATCAGTAACGTTTCCTCCTTGTCCGTGTTGATGGCAGAACACCTGTGAACGTTTCATCAGGCCAAATGTTCTGGAAGTGGAGTTATGACCAGGGATGGAATCCCATATGGAGCAAGGACGCCCTTGCCATGAAATGGAACCAAGACGATGTTTCGCAAATGGCCGCCTTACCGTTTCTGCAGCAATATGGCCTTGGAGTGACGTTACTCATGTTGCACAGCAGTATCGTAATGAGAACAATTTGTTTTCCTGGCCGCAAGATCCCATATGTTTGTCACTCATAGAACATAAGGGACAGAAAGGAGCGACAATTACGACGAATCCTCTAAGAGCGCCAAAACGCTGCATGAACTCGAATGTGAAATGATCTTCATCCTGACTGTGACGGTGCCTGGCCTGCACCAATGCACAAGGTGGACACACCGTGTGAACTTGCTTGTGAAACCCCTTTTGTGTCGTGACTCATTTGCATATGCCAGGTGCTCTGTTTTTATAAACTTATATTGAGTTCTGTGCTATGTGCTCGCAGACAGTCCGATCTGGGCAGCACCAATATAATCGTCGAGTCATTTGAGGGGCAAGGGGAATGTACCGGGTTTTGGTGCTAGGGATAAATTGAAAACAAATTTACACACACAATTCCTATTAAGTTCATTAAAACCTAAATATTTCTCCTTTCAAGTGTTTCATTCTTCCTCTTGAACGATAAGACTAACAGCTCTTCTCGTGACAATCAAGTGTGCAAACCCAGGGGCAATAGGAAAAGAGCAAAATTACCCTCCGTATTCTGTTGTCAATTGCAGTCGCCGGTCGGGATGGTTTCAAGATCAAGCCGTCAGCATTTACAGATCTGTGGAAGAGTTGAAGTGACCGTGATGAAATGTAGACGGACCAAGTAGCAGGGATAATACATGATAAATACGGAATTCGTGTAAACCAAATCCACAAGTAATAAAGAACACATACATGGGTATTCGATCATACAGGAGAACAAAATAAGACTTACACTAATAGATAATAAAAATATGTATAAAAACAGCAGCAATGAATGAGAAATGCAGAACATATAGACATTAAACAAAACATGTAGCAAAAAGTAATCTGCACAGAGATAAGTAAGTAACACGGGAAGGTATAGATATATGATAGGGCATAATGGAATTAACAATGATTGCATGAGAAATGAATAATAGTTACAAGTGTAGCAAATGCTAAATGCATATTTCAGTGCGAAAACATATATGGTCCTGCAGGATAATGAACCACAAGTTTGATGTTACGCATTAACGACCAACCTACTTCATGATGAGTGTCTTGTTCGTTCCTCCAATCATGTCACTAATCCCCACTGGGCCTGTACTTAAGGTTGCAACCACAGCATTCAGTGACGTGTGGGGTTCCGACAAATCTGCAACACATTCAATACATATCAACCTTCTGCCTCTACGAATGTAATCATGACATGATATGAATATTACACACTTCATCGGATTGAGAATATTTTCTTAAGAACGTTTGAATGAAATCAACATAACATTACTTTCTCAAAACGGAGTTATTCCAATTGGAAAGTAATGTCATGTTGATTCAGAACTAATTTTGTACATACTGTAGCCATTTCCGGGTTGAACGCTGGTTGTCCAAAAATTATCCTTGTAGGGAGCAATGCCCAGAGACAAAGCAAATATCGATGACACGCCTATCTTCCAGTTGTCAGTGTTAGGTCGGTTGTCATGGCTTACCCGAGCCTAAAACAAAACTTTGCAAAGTTTCAAATGGGAAGGGCGAAATATATATATGGTCTGTTTCCAGGACGATGGTGTTAAACAAATACTCTACGTGTCTCTACCCATGTGGTGATCGCTATCATACAAATATATCAAAATCAGTATAAACCCACACTCACTAAAATAACCATACCATAAAAGAGTTGCTCTCACCTGTGTAACGACAGGTATTTCCAGAGACTGAAGCATATGTCGCGGAAGAGACATGCAGTACTGGATGGTCAGTCCGTTCTTGGCAGCCCCATTCCCCATCTGAGTCAGCCATTGGCGGCCAAGGTCAATGTCAGTCAGAAGCTTATTGATTGCTTCAAATTCAGTACCGAGATAATCCTACAAAAATCGAACAAACGTAAAATTAAATCTGAAATGAATATACACTGTAGGAATGCGTATCTGTAGTTATGAATTTGGTAATAGGAGGTATTACCTGTTCGTAGACAAACAGACCCCATTCTCTTGCTTCGGCGAGCAAATCAGTCCAGAATCTCTGAAACGTGATGAGAAACATATCTGAATGTCTAAACATGTCAGTTGATTGATGAAACAAACCTAAATCCAGTACGATGCTTAGGTGAAGAAGAAGATTGTTTGCATTTCATTTACATCCTAGCCAACATCAGCAGCAGTACCTCTTCCAGTGGCAATGCCTTTGGACCATCGATGACGAATTCATACTTTCCTCCATTTGCAGTTGCGTAGGTTGTGTTGCTGGACCTTGGATAATGCAAAACCATCAAATATTTTATGACACAGAACTTGTAGTACATTTACATGTACAGTAAAAACTAACTGGATAATGTTTCAGTTTCCAATTTTCTTGAGTGCTGCTACTGATGAAAACTCCTTTTGGATATGAGAAAAAAAGATTCACAGGATGAGGTAGAATGTAGAAATTGTGTTAGTGTCTAAAAGGAAATTCCGTAAGATTTTAAAAAGTTGTACCTAAAAATGCACTACAATATTATTACAAGTAAATAACCCAACTTAACTCCAAACCGGAATTCAGAAATAATTTATCAGATACCTTGACCCAGCTTACCAGTACATGCTGTGCGCCACGACGGGATACTGTGTCTTGTTATAAAGCCACCTTTATCAAAAGGATGAAATAAAGCAAAAAGAAAATGTATCAGCTTAACTAAACTGATAATGTCACTTGAGAAAATGTAACTTTACGGTCCCTAGGTAACACATATCGTAACAACTCAATATATGCAGTCCACTTAACATATAAAAGGGTACATATTTTTGACAAATTTTGATTTCACACATATATAGGACATTTCCAAATATAATTTTATATCAAAACGAATATTATACTAATAGTACTAATATTCATATAAATAATATCCATATCATTTAATAGATTTATGCAATATTTACTCAGTTGAAGAACTGGAAAATATCTCACTGCATTCCATTTGGAAAGACTTTTGGCTGCGCCGCCCACGTCACAACACCATGATCATTGTCCCAGTAGTACCACCATTCGTCATACTGAATGTACCTGACAATAAAACAAAACCATTGTCCCAGTAGTACCACCATTCATCGAACCGAATGTACGTGGTAAGTAAACAAAACCATTGTCCCAGTAGTACCACCATTCATCGAACCGAATGTACGTGGTAAGTAAACAAAACCATTGTCCCAGTAGTACCACCATTCGTCATACCGAATGTACCTGGTAAATAAACAAAACCATTGTCCCAGTAGTACCACCATTCGTCATACTGAATGTACCTGGCAAATAAACAAAACCATTGTCCCAGTAGTCCCGCCATTCGTTATACTGAATGTACCTGGTAAGTAAACAAACCCATTGTCCTAAGTAGTACCACCATTCGTCATACTGAATGTACCTGGTAAGTAAACAAAACCATTGTCCCAGTAGCCCCGCCATTCGTTATACTGAATGTACCTGGTAAGTAAACAAAACCATTGTCCCAGTAGTACCACCATTCGTCATACTGAATGTACCTGGTAGGTAAACAAAACCATTGTCCCAGTAGTACCGCCATTTGTTATACTGAATGTACCTGACAAATAACAAAACCATTGTCCCAGTAGTACCACCAATTCGTCATACCGAATGTACCTGGTAAATAAACAAAACCATTGTCCCAGTAGTACCACCGATTCGTCATACCGAATGTACCTGGCAAATAAACAAAACCATTGTCCCAGTAGTACCACCAATTCGTCATACCGAATGTACCTGGTAAATAAACAAAACCATTGTCCCAGTAGCACAACCATTCGTTATACCGAATGTACGTGGTAAATAAACAAAACCATTGTCCCAGTAGAACCACCATTCGTCATACCGAATGTACCTGGTAAGTAAACAAAACCAATGTCCCAGTAGTACCACCATTCATCATACTGAATGTACTTGACCAAAATATAACCAGGTCATTGTCCCACTGAATGGAACAATACTTTAAGAAGAGAACCTGATCATTGTCCCAATTATTATTGCCACCCTTCACAAAGACATTAACCAGCACATAACAGTAAACGTTTTGATACACACGCATCATTCAGTTTGGATACAGTATTGTTTCTAGATATTAAACATAATGCTAATAAGCTTTTTTGAATAACAGGGGCGTGTCAGGCTTAGAAACAGCGTTAGAAAGACATATAGGTATATAGACCCTACCCTAGTGCTATATAAAAGGAAAGGGATGATCACTTGAATGTCAAGGCTATCTATGGCCGACAAGTGAGTATGATTGCCGATGGATTTGGAGCAAATTCTTGCTTACTGTCGAGGAAATGATTCGTAGATGTTGCAATAAGTTTTTAGACCCGTGGAATGCCGCTGCCGATCGAATCTAGCCCTACATAGGTGCTGTCAACGTGGCTGGAATTAATAAACGAATTTCAAAGGTGAGTTTTCGCTGTCTTGGGTGATCCATGATTTTGGCTTGGAATTGCAGAGGAAGCTGTTTTCGGTGAGTCGTGGCGTATAACTTTTGAAATAATGATCCGATGGTGACCATTTATAGCTCATTTTGTAGGAAAATCATCTCGCTTTCGATCCGTAGGCCTCGACGGGGTCTTAAAATGCTTTACGTGATGCAATCTAACTTAGATTGAGGAGGGGGTGGTTCCGTCGTTACATCCCTTTCGTTTTATATAGTACTAGGGTAGGGTCTATATACCTATATGTCTTTCTAACGCTGTTTCTAAGCGTGACACGCCCCTGTGTCTTCAATAGTGTAATACGTGCAGCTTAATAGCAAAGTTTCTCTGGCATTTCTTACTCATGGGCGAAGACATGAGTTTCATCCAATGCTCCGATAACATCTACAGTAGCACATCTAAGTAGTGAGTACGTGAGTTCACTTTTAGTGTCACGTCGGCAACATTTCAGCCATATTGGAAGAAAAGGAAACAGAGAGGTCACAGTCTTAGTAGAGCCCACTACAATAAACATCCTAACGAAATGAGCCAATAGTGCATCAAGTAAACTATATGACGATTGTTCCAGCTATAGTCCTACTCAGCACAAAGAATACAACAAGCAAGTAAATCATATTTCTTTATTGTCTTACACTTTAATATTTATCTGTAAAATGTTGTTGGTATGAACTAAGCGGGCTTTCAAATGTTCCATGTCGATGTAAAAAACTACCTGTACTTAAAAATATATACAAATGTCTACAAACCTGACGGGTACCCCTATCTGTACCATGTAGCTCTTGATATCCAACATTGTATCTTGGTGGTTCTTTCCTTTCTCCGTCACGTAATAGTAATATGCACCTGGACAAACAACATTTTCGTTTGGGTTGTTTTGTTTGTAAAGACTTTCAAGCGTCATCTGTCAGATATTCTGTGTGGATTAACATCGCCTGAATTGTGACAGTTTCGCTTTTCATAATTAAAACACACACACACACACACACACACACACACACACACACTTACATACCCTCGCTCAATATTTATTTATGTATGAATCCCAATTAAATCTTTGAGAGAGAGAGAGAGAGAGAGAGAGAGAGAGAGAGAGAGAGAGAGAGAGAGAGAGAGAGAGAGAGAGAGAGAGAGAGAGAGAGAGAGAGAGATGGCATTGGATGGCAATCTCAACGGCGCATCGCATTTTTAACATCAACTCCCTGGGGATCACACAACTTTTGCAGCCATTAGGCGCACCAAGTTAATGTGGCTTTCCCATCCTTACAATGTGCACATCAGTATGGTATGGTGGTGTGTCATACTGCAAGACACTCTCAAATTCGATCCAGTGGTATACATATCTGTGCAGATAAAGAAATGTGTCCATTATCTGTTTAAAGGGTGCCTTGTAAATTGATTTGTTAAAATCAAAATGTCGGTACAGTGTCTCAGATCTCAGATATCCTCACCATTGTCCGTCCAGAACCCTAAGTAGTTGATCGTAAAGTCGGACTTCACATATTGATCTGTACGTCCATGCCATCGTTGTAAGATCTGACCCCAGCTTACGGAGGCCTACAACGACAATCATATATTTTCTAAAACAATGGACAACAGGAACGGTTACCATGGAAGGGTTTAACGCTTATGGTTACGGTGTAAAAGTTTTAAAAGCCAAAATTCGAAATCGAAATATCACCACGAAATAAACATACGACTAATATGAAAAGAAGAAATAGAATAGAACTGAAAACGGCAAAACGTAATCCATGTTTTAATAGTTACTTAATGTGACGCTTATACATGCTGTTAACAGCTATTTTAAGTTGATGTTATGGAGGATGAGAGGATGAGAGTTACCTTGTTAATACCTTGATTACCACAGAAAAGAATAAAGCTGGTTTCAACGCCAACAGGGACATCTTCAACTCGACCCATCGTCCCCCAGTAGACATTGTCCCCGCCGGTGCTGGAGTTCTGACGCCATATTGATGACGACATAAACCGACTGGCAGGGGAGATAATCAGTGTATTTGCAGTCTTCACTCGATCAAATATCGTCAAGGGTCCACCCTCGATCCCGTCGTTGATTGTAAATGATGATGGTCCCCATCTTGGGAAAAAAGTGCAGAATAGATGAAATTTATTGACAATTAACCAGTAAGACAGCCTATTTTTTTGCATACCATTAGTATAATATACTCTCCAAGAAAGAAACGAATAGGTAATATATGAAATTTCAAATATTTTTCAAAATTAGTAATTGATTGTTCTAATTTCGCCATTATAACGCTGGATTGTGTACATTGAACAAATACACAGAGTGAAAACGCATCTTCGGAAACGTTAATGCACGTTTATGTTCGAAATTGTCACAACTGGCATGAAAATGTCATGGAGGAAAAGGTGGTTCGCGATAAGCTCATGCAGTTCTAAGAAAATCGTGAGCTGGGATATTGTCTATTTATAGCCGTTTTGCGTTTTGACGGTCATTGTTATTATTTTAGCTAAATGAAAAATATCATTATGCCGTGACACACTGTTGTAAATCGGAACATTGCCATTGGACGTCAGGAGACATGTTGGTCTCAATCTGCAGTTGCGCGTCACCTCTATGTTCACGTTTATGGGACCGATATGAACTAACCAATTCTACGCAAAATCGGCCTCGAAGTGGTAGACTTCAGATTACCACTGCAGCGCAGGATAGGTGCATCTGGGTACTTCATTTGATCATTCGAACTGTCACAGAAACTGCAACTGCAAGTGTAGTGTCTGGTTTGAGAAGAGAGTCGGTGCAAAGCATTCGTAATATTTAACGAGAAGCTGGACTTCGAACCAGAAGACCCTAACTTTGCCCTGTGCTGCGACGACTACATCGACGTGGACGGGTCCAGTGGTGCAATAACGTTCGATTCTGGAATCTACAACACTGGCGACGTGTATGGTTCAGTGGCGAATCACGCTTTCTGCTTCAGTGCCGTGACGGAAGGGTACGTGTCTGTCGACGTCGAAATGAACGTTTTGCCCAGAATTGTATTGACCAGGCTGACCGATGTGGTGGTGGAAGAATCATGAGTTGGGGACAGATTCTACACGCAGAAATCTAACTTTTCCGCCTTCGGGGCAATGTAACTGCTATTCGGTACAGAGACGAAATCTAAGGATTCAATTGGTTACAATCATTGACCGCCAGAGGGAGTTTTTCCAGCAAGACAATGCCGCGCCTCACACAGCACCTTCAGTATCTTCAGAATTGAAACATTACAGTACCTCCATGTTCTTCCAAATCGCCCGCCCAACACCATCGAGCATTTGTTGGATAGCCTCGGCCGACGCTTACGGGAATGCTGGCAGGCGACCCAGACGTTAGATCAACTGTCTCAGGGATTGCAAGAGGAATTCGACTCTCGGTCGAATTCAAGGACTTATTCAGTCCATACCGGGACGGCGCATGGCAGTTTTGAGGATCATGTTGGCCACAACGTCCTACTGGGAATGGACACCTTCACTTATTGAATTTGTATACATTTTTATACAAGCTATACGTGGTTACAGAGATTTAGTCTTTCATACGGTGAAATTTATTATTTATGTGTGTTATCTCAATTAAAGTTAGCCGATTAAATTAGTGAAAATACACCCATGCATATATTTTTTCGGAGAGTTTATTTACAAGAGATTGTTCCCTTGATATTTGGGAAGTGGAAGAGGAACTATCTTGAGGTCACCGAGATGCATTTTGTCAAGAATCGGCTGATGTAAAACCACTTTGCATCCATGTGCTATTGGTGACGTAAACCACATGCACTTTCTGGCAGAGTGAGTGAGTATGGTTTTACGCCGTTTTTAGCAATGTTCCAGCAATATCACGGCGAGGGAAATCAGAAATGGGCTTCACACATTGTACCCATGTGGGGAATCGAACCCGGGTCTTCAGCGTGACGAGCAGATGCTTTAACCACTAGGCTACCTCACCGCCCTTCTTTCTGGCAGACCAAGTCACATTAGCTTCCTTTGTAGGTTTTACACGTAACAACACTATCATTTTCACATACGAATACTTACTGCCCTACAATGAGACCAATGCTTCCAGCCTGAGATCCTCCATAGCTTAGGTATCCTAACGGAATGGTTGACTCTTGAATTAGAAACCCAGGAAATCCAGAAATGGTGAAGTTACTGATTTTGGAGGCGGTGTTGTTTGCTCCATTGATGTAACGCTGTGGCCGTCATTGATGAAAGAAAATAAGAAGATCGTGTGTTCTGACAACGTGTCAGTTATGAAACTATGAAGATCGTGTGTATTTCCTGGTACATTTCGCGACAAGTTGACAAATAACTACGTAAAGGACTCCAGATAAAAAACTATTTGCAGAACATTCAACATCAATAGCCTTTAATATTGCACTGTTGAAATGTCCTCACTGCCACTTGGAGAAAGTACCAAAGTGACAAAATTTCGATTCAGTGACAAACCAATAATTATATAGATTTATATCGCTGGTTGTGGTGTTGAGCACCAACTCAACCTTCAAAACTAAAATGTTTATTCCGTAAAGGGATAATATGTGCAAAAGTGATTTAAAATCCTACGTTTACTCACCTGTTTGAACAACATGAACGGTAAGGCCGGGTTGTTGTAGGTGAATATGCTTGGATCTGGTGTGTACTGTACAAAGCTGGCCTCGATCTGACTGGACCCTGCCTTGTACAAGAAGCTGTTGGCCTCCCACTGCCCGATGATGTCCACTCCACTGGACTGAGTGTTCTTGACCAGCTTCAGAGATCCATCAGCAGAGGAGAACACTTGGCCATCAGCTCTGAAGAAGGTGGGAGCGCTCTTCAGCCACACATCTCCCTGAACAACGACGCTGTAGGTGCCATCACTGTTGACGTTCACAGCAAAGTCCTGCTTACCCTCGGAGACTGCTGATTTGAAAAACAATTACGTTACTAGGTAAGTAAGATAAGATAATCAGAAGAAGAGTAAAAATTCAAATGACTCTTTTCATTGCTATGTAGTGAAGCTGTGTAACAATGTTCCAAGTGTAACACACTGACATTCGTTTGGGGGCAGTTGTTTGTTCTATAGTTAGCTTGGTGCTATGATCTGGAATGTACTACAGTCCAATGGGTCTTTCCCCTATATTCTGACCCAGCGAGTTGGAGAATCTTCTGGAGTTTTTTTTTTTAGATATGTAAGAAGAACTAAATCTTGCCCCAAATCTGACATTCCATATCATGTAACAATTGACCATTGCTTACAAGAACATTGTAGAACGATCTTCAGTCAGTTTTGAGGTATATACGGGGAAAAAACTCCTGTCGCTCATCTCAGATTGCATCGTAATTTACAAACATATTTATGTTTAGGTCATCCTTACCCTGGATATTCAGCCTATTGAGGAAACTGGACCACTATTGTAGTTAGCTGAAAATTACCATCTTATACCATAATCACTGATTTAATACGAAACTGCCACTCTGTTTAGTACTTCCACGATAATACCTGTGTTGTGATTAGCATGAATATTGGTATCAGGATGTAACATAATCAAACCGAAACAAAATCGTTGAATAGTCATGGGCCATATCCTGCTTTGCTGCTGTAGCTAAATAAATGTCTACTCTTACACAATACAAAGTGGTTATTCTTAACGTATGTGTCACTCCAATGACATTCAACTGTAAATGTTTTTCGGTGAATCGAAACGTATTAGTGAGTGAGTGAGTTAATATTTATCGTCACATCGTCAATATTTCAGCCATATCGTGACGATAACAATTAACGGTTATATCATAGATCAATAAATAGAAACAAATAATCCTGTTGACGAAAGACAGTACTAGGGCATCACAGAAAGTTATTTAAAACTAGTGATTAAATCTAAAACATTTGAACTAAAAATGACAAGAAAATGTAAAAACAGGCTATAGATTGCCAACAACTGAAGGTAGATTACCAAACTAGGGACCATGGGGACTTACCGTACATTTGCTTCCTGCTGGATTTACACCATCCCTTCAACTATTGACAATTTTAGATAATCAAGCCATACTTAAAAGAACATATACTGAGTCAAAAAAGAAACTTCACAAAATGTAATTTTTTAAAATAATGAATTTGTTTTCTCTGATGATACATCTATGTATCCGAAATGGGATCCCTATTTTTCGACTCTAGAAAAACGTTAGCAAAACCCACTCAAACCCATCCATTCCTCGTGCAAATGACGTTAGTGCCAAATCAGGTTTTGCACGTGCAGTCGATCACGTGATCTTCGCATCGAAGTTTTCTTCATATGCACATGTTTGCATTGGCCTCAAGAATTGAAAAAACACTTTTAAACCACAGTTCTAACGGTACTTGAAATGCCACGATTGTCAAATGTGCAACGTGAACGTGCCGTTGGCATGTTGCAAGCTGGAAGATCAGTTATTGACGTCGCAAGAGCAATTGGATGCAGCCGTCGTACTGTGTATGACTTGCGAGGTCGTCTACAACAAACTGGCACCACTTCTGATCGCCCAAGGTCGGGTCGTCCACGTGTGACGTCACGAGCAGAAGACCGTCAAATCGTCCTACGTCACCGACGTGACAGATTTCTGCCGGCTACACGAACCAGGGCTGAGATGTTTAGAGGTCGACTGTCCTCACAGACCATTCGAAATCGGTTGCGGGCTGCCAATCTCCATTCTCGACGTCCATATCGTGGGCCAATATTGACGCCGTTTCATCAACGTCAACGTCTGCTTTGGGCCCAACGTCACCTCCGATGGACCCAGAGAGACTAGAATCGAGTCGTCTTTAGCGATGAATGCAGGTTTACCCTCAGATTCGCGGACGGCAGGCATAGAGTCTGGAGACGACGGCGTGAACGGTATGCCCAATGTTGTGTACAGGAAGTCGACAGATTCGGGGGCGGAAGTTGCATGGTGTGGGGTGCTTTCTGTGGGAACAACCGTTCCCGACTTCTGGTCATCCGTGGAAACCTCACAGCTGCTGCTTACCGCGACCAGGTGCTCATTTTTCGCATTTTTATTCTTGTGACTTGACATTCTGTATACCCATGTTTTGGAACGGCGGTGTAGCCTAATGGAACTGATTATGGCACTGTCAGTGTATCGAGTACATCACACAGATCTCAGCAATGAAATAATAACAATTTACCCATCTTACCATCTCTTGTTCTTTTATAGTGCCCTGAAGAAAGAATGTGAAGTTTCTTTTTTGACTCAGTATATATACAATATATGAAATAATTGTAGGTTTAGATTTACCTTGAAGGCTTTCGAAACGTATTAAGTAAGTACATGAACACAAGTATACTATCGGATTGCAGCAGTAGATTACATGTATGTATCAGCGTTTTGCAAGGGCAATTTGATCATCAATCAACTGGTGCTTAATTTTGTGTAAAAAAAAATGTTTGGATATAAGCATTTCATGAAGAGCTTTCAATGCTTTCTTTCAATTCAGCACCTCATGTTTAATTCGCATTCAAACCCTCATTTCCAGGACATCAACGACACAAAGGCCATTAACTACGTGACTGGATCACTGTGGAAGTGGGAATGATGGTTCCAGCTCGTTCATCCTATTTGTATTTTATTGTTACCTTACCAAGACGGTGATCCGTTGATAGCAATCTTTATAACAGCCTGGCAATTTATGTTTCATAATAACTGACACAAAAATGCAATTATGGCATTTCTTCAATTCAGATAACAAAATGGGATTTTGAACCTCATTTCCCCAAATTTAGCCACATATAGGGATCGATTTTCCATTGTTACTGTAAATACACTTACCAGCACAAAGCGACAGAAATAGGCACAACAAGATCATAGCGCACATCTTCAAGTGTTGACGACTCGCTATCAATATGACTTACACACCACTTGATGAAATGTACACAAGGTCAGTCACTATCTGAAATGATAACAGTGTTATCTGAGATGATAACAGTGTCATGTCAAGGTTGAGTGCATAGTTTTGGGATGAGACGATTTATATAGCTGTGTATATGTGTACATATTGCTTTTAACAGTGTCGTCCAGGTTAAACTATATATGTCGTACCAATAAATACAAATTCCACCAAATATAATTGTTTTGTATGTCAAGTTGAAAAAAATGTTATATGTCAGTCGTAGAATCTGTATCGTATTTACATGTAGATCTACTCATAAAGATTCAGGGTGACATGAAAACTCTACAGAACACTACTAAAGCGGGGTCACTTCAATAGGCTTCAGTGGACTGTACCTAAAGCCCCAGCCTTTGGACTTCAAAGGGCGTCACCCGACTCTTGCTCGGGAGTGGCAGGTTAGAAAATCAAACGTTTTGATGCCTCTCAAGATACGAGGGGGTATAAAAAAGTTCTAATTATCCCCGTGAATTTATTGAGAAATTATGGCGAAAATTTGAAGGTTACGTCAGTGATCCTTATCTAGTTAATGGACCCAAAACTAGTTACATCACTTTGTTCAATCTTGTGCTAGTTGATCCCAAACATGACTAACCCCGTGTGCGGAGAAAATTGAGGCACGCAGCGTTATCAAGTTTTTGCACTTGAAGGGTTGCATTGCCCGACAGATTTACAAGGAGATGGAATCTGTTTGTGGTGAAGATAACCCATCTTATGATACTGTTGTGAGAAGGAAAAGGCATTATCAAACCGGTCATATGTCCCTCACAGTTGAGCCAAGATGTGGACTCAGTTTTAACGATACTAATAGGTTATTGAGGAGGTGGAGGGTTGGTTTTCTATGAAATCAGGTGTGTGTGTGTGTGTGTGTGTGTGAGTGTGGGTTTGTGGGGTGTCTATTCAAGGTCAAGAAATGTTGGGAGAAATGTGTGGATGGTGATTACATGTATGTAAGCCTTAAGGACAAGAAATCAAAATGAAGTTTCTACCCTGAATACGTCTTGGTGATGATTGTAAATTTTATATACCCCCTCGTATGTCACCCATATTTAGATTGTGCAAGCGATATCCAAATTTGCAAACGTGTTGAGTGTGCGCGTGTGTGTACGCGTGTGCGTGCGAGCGTGCGTGTGTGTGAGAGAGTGTGAGTGTGTCCGTGCATGAATGGCCTTCCTACGTGTTTCAACGTTATCTTCAGGGAGAGAGTACAGTATATAATTATTATAACTGTAACAGTAATCTCTTCCAGGAGGAAAATTCGTGTTGCGTCTTTATTTTGTGAATGTCATAATACATATACGACTGCACACCGCTGAACGTCACGTACCTCTCCCTCACATTCTCTCTCTCTCTCTACATATATACTTATAAAGTATATATTGACAGTTTATGAACAGCATATATGTATAAATATATATAAATACACATAAATATATGTTTAATGGAGTTTCTTGACGACATATTCAGTTTTTTCTTCTAAAGTCGGGAAAGCGTTTGCATTGTTCCATGACGAGTGTTTAGTTGGAACAAAGATTTAGTTGGGAAATTATATATAATTAATTATATATTGAGAGGGTATAAATCCGTTATACTACTAGTTTCACAAACTCAGATGGCATTTTTCCGTTCGGCAGTGCTAAAGTATTACCTATTTTCCTTTGAACCCCTCCATACAACATTTATGATTGGTGTTTAAACACTTACTGAGACTCCTTGATTACAAATCTGCATTCTTGTTAACAATATCATTTCTAGTCATCCGGAGAACTTTACACCTGGATTAAGTTTTCAAGTCCGTGGCGTTGTGCTGTGATCAGCCATTCTGAACATCATGTTCCCTCCCACATCGAGCTGAGACACAGCGATGCAACCGCATTGATCTTCAAAGAAGTATTATTGCATTGTGGAATTGGGGACTTAGAATTTAGGGTTTGATATTCGAAGTCATTTTGACGCTGAACTGATATATATAATAGGTAACTTCCCTCTGTGGCACTTGTCTCTGTCACACATGACTGATTTCATAGGCCACAGAGGGAACTTAAGTAGAGGCCACGTGCCATAAAGGGACAGGTCACCAGTTTCAATTAACGATGTGTGAATACATAATCCACTCACACATGCCTCAGGGAGCTACACCTGAACTATTCTGTTTACTCCCTGACAAGAAAGGTTCCACCTACCACAGACGTAGCCAGCTTCTTCAGACGAAATGTGAGACTTTTGGACTTACATTTTCACCTGGAGTTGAGATTTCGTATGTATTTTCGTAACAACCTCTCATATAATGCTATCAATCCGCCAATCAAGGTCAATCAAATACCGCGTTAATGTCCTAACACCTTATCAGTCATGGCTTACTGCACACAAGTGCCACTCAGGGACACACGAAACGACCATAGGCCAAAGCGGGAAATTTCATCCAGATCAATTAAAATCTCATAGGCCACAGAGGGAAGTGCCACAGAGGTACTAAACCGTCAAGGACAGGAGTATTGTCAAGTAATTACACGTCAACTGTGTGTGTTGTACAGTGGAAACACCTTCGACCATTATGGTATAACATCTGATATACATTCCAATTCAAATAGAAAAAAAACAACAACATACACATACAGTATACCCTGGTTTTAATGCCACCGTTTGTCCAGGATAAAATATGACATTATATCCAGGGTGGCATTATAACCAGGTAGGACAGTTAGAGGACCTGTGCGATCAACAAGGTGATTGAGCTGATGTCTCCTGTAATGAGCCTTGAATGACTGGATAATCCCAGCATCTAGGGGCTGCAGGTGACTGGATAATCCCAGCGTCTAGGGGCTGCAGGTGACTTGTTGTTGTAGGTGGCAGGAAGTGTATTATCACATGTGTTATCCTATCTGGGATAACATGACTACTTAAAGCATTACTGAGTTTGGTCAATTAATTTGAGTCATGTCAATGAACCAATAAAGGTATGTATACTACATGCAGCCAGCGTAATTGGCATTATAACCAGGGTATTATATAGGCAGGAAACCGTTCTGGCAAAAACATGGCATTATATCCAGGGTGGCATTATAACAAGGGGCATTATAACCAGGGTGCACTGTAAATCAACTTCACATATACACCAACCTCAATGTCCAATGACGCTGTATCACTGAAACTGTGCTATATTAGCGGAATGTAATTTTTGGTGAGTCAAAAAACATACGACTTTATGGATAACAACTTCTTGTGTACATGTATTGTATAGAGCGGTGTAGATACTACATACAATTGACCTGCGAAGAGGTCATCAACCTAGAGACTTTATCTATTAGCACCCTAACAGCTTGTTTTTTTTGTTTTACTGTTTTTACTACTTACACCCTCCTGCTTATAGGCTTAACAACTTACTCCCCATCTGGTCTCATTCAAGTGTGTGTCACAACTTATCTATTACTTGCTCTTGTAAATGTTAATTCGTATGTATTTTTAAACTTCTCATCGCTTGGGGCAATAGGGGAGCCTAGTGGTTTAAGCGTTCGGTCGTCACGCCGAAGACCCGGGTTCGATTCCCCACATAGTTACATTGTGTGAAGCCCATTTCTGGTGATCCCCGCCGTGCTATTGCTGGAATATTGCTAAATGCGGCGTAAAACTAAACTCACTCACTCTTATCGCTTGGTTGTAGTCACTGGTAGCTTAATGTCGGTGTAATAGTCTACACTGAACCGTCGCTCTATGCAATAACAAGAACTTTTTATCGATGAAGTCGTTTGCTTCATTTTTGCTGGCTAGCTTATTATCTCTCTTAATGTTCATATTAGTGCACATGCTATTGCGTTACTTATGAGCTTGATTGATTTTAAAACAAAACCCACTTCGATGTGGAGGTTACTATGATCAAGTACACCTTCCTGTTGTACAACCGATGCCCTTAAACCTTCAAGGAGGTATCCTCTGTACATGCACGTGCGTATTACATACATAACGTCTTTGAGTGGCATTTAAGGAGTTGAGAAGTGAGTGAGTAACTTTAATTTAACGCCGCACTCAGCATTATTCCAGCTATATTGCGGAGGTCTGTAAATAATCGAGTCTGGACCAGAGTGAGTTAGTGAGTGACTTTAATTTAACGCCGCACTCAGCATTATTCCAGCTGTAAATATTCGGGTCTGGACCAGACAATCCAGTGATCAACAGTATAAGCATCGATCTACGCAATTGGGATACGATGACATGTGTCAACCAAATCAGCGAGCCTGACCGTCCGACCCCCTAGATCAATTCTAACCCGGATCTTCACGGGGATGGAAAGAACAACGTAGATGATCTTTTTGGATAACAACTTTTTTAGTACGTGTGTGCGACACAAAAGGAAAAAAAGAAGAATTCAAATAACGTTTGTTTAATTCCTTTCAAGGAGCAGCAACATCACACATATATTATGACGCAAAATACTAAGCATGGGTACATAATAATTGAGGCATGTACAAATATACAGTACAACTAGAAATTATTGAGAATTTAAGATTGTAATTTATTTTTTTTTTCACTCATTACTCACGTATCAAATGTGAATATTAGCAGAACATAACTCCAGATTCTAAGACAGGTGAACACTTAGTATTTTGTCAAGTCACCATGGGCAGCAATGCAGGCTTCAATGCGGCGGGGCATACTACTGATCAAAGAAGATAGAAAATCGTGGTCCATGCTGTCCCAATATCGGACCACCTCTAATTGTCTCCTTACAGACAGCCACAGTTCCTCTATCAATCATATCCAGCCTTAAGTTTTCTTAACTCCCTCGTTTGTTTTTAGAAACAAGAATACCAAGCCGCCTCCTGTCACCGACAGTCAATTTTCTGGGCCTACCTGCGCCTCCCTGGTGCTCAATGCCATATCCATTTGCAATATTTTTCAAAACACGATAAACAGTGGACAAAGGGATGCCTGTTCTACTTGAAATCACTTTAGTTGATCTGATGTCCTTGTTATAATACTCTAAAATCAACTTCTTCTTCTCTAAATCATCCATACTGAGGATCACTGAAAATGTCGTCTGCTAGCAAGTAAACAAAGGGGGATAAGTCTTCCCAAACAAATGAAAAATGATTAACGGAGTTGTCTCACTTGAATGAAACCAAGCACTTGATAGCTGGTCATGGTTGTTTATACTAGAAATCCAATTAAACATATTCCTAAAATTCTCAATAATTTCAGGTCATAATATACCACGTTAATTCAAAAGACAAAAAAGTCAGGATGTTTCACAATTGAGCAAAATAGAACTTGGTAAATGGATGCGATGACCGGATTTGCGCATTTGCAAATATGATATGAGTGATATGAACTAACTAGCGTTTATTCAACACGAAGGAACAAATTTAATGTTTACATTGACAAATATTCCTTCATATTCATTATACTCCACGACATGAGCGTGCTCCGAAACTGAGGGTGGCCAGTCCTGCTGCTCCGAGGGTACAGATAACAGGTGAAGATTTACCATCCACGTTGAACCAGAAGGACACAGTTTCACGGGCAGCCCCAGTGAGGCTGATGATGATGTCATCGGCAATGTTGATGTCCGTCACTCTCTGGGATGACATCGCCACCCACTTGTCTAACTCACCCTGGATGAGAACTTGTTTGCTGCGCGAACATAATTTTATATCTATCTTAATTATTCAGAAAACATATGTGACTCAAAGTTTCCCTTCAATCACATTCAATTGCAAATTGAAAAACAAACACAAACACAGCAAAGGGCATAGTACTTATAACGTCGCTTACGATGTGTATTATTTAAGATAAAAATGACCTGAAAACACCTGTGCTTACAAGTTTAGAAACGTCCATTTTAATTTATGTAAATTCATGTTATTTATCAATATATTTTACTATATTTTTTCAAATGTATATTCATTACTCGACATCCTTTTAATCCCTTTAATATAATGATTTTCTAATCGGAATCATTACTGATATCCTCAATGTCGATTCACCATCGCTCTATGCAATAAACAAGAACTTGATATCCATAACGTTGTATGGTTTATATTTGACTCACCAACATCTAGAATGCCGATCAAACAATTAGATTCACCATTTGGTAACTTAATACATCTAATGCATTGCCACGATTCGATATATTTTCTTTCAAATGTTGCATCAACATCGATGAATTCATACACAAGAGTTCTCTCACGTTCCCTTGGTTTATATTCTCTTAGAGTATACAGTCGTATGGAATAGTTAATATTGGTTTTGCCCAGTTTCCCCAGGTGCTCTAGTTCCTGCATTAACTGAAAGGTAATGCACCTACCCGTTAATGGTCAATACAGGTGATACATAGAAGAGACAAAAGTCAGCCTTGGTACAGCCACTCATTGTCAAAGGCTGGGCGTCGGTCAAGGGTTGGATCTTGTTGGGACTATTGGCTGGGAAAACCATGGAAGTAGGGAACTGGAAATACCAACGATCATTTTAACTGCATACCTGCCTATTTGTACATGTATATTTGTGGCACTAACCTACTGCAATCAAATAAGAAGAGAAACATCTTAATGTCCTACCCCTTGATATCCAGCCATGCAAGGTGTCATGTTGTAGCTTCCATTCAGATCAGCAGCGAGGATGATACCGTACTTGTTATCTCCGCCAAAATCTGAATACGTGGACCACACCTCCCCATCAGGACCATCAAAGTCTAACCAAGCCATCTAAAAAACATGCATGAGAAAATTTCGGTTCCATCAAGGTTTTTCATGCTATTTCAAAACATTCAGTTCTATAAAGTGACTTTGTGGCATGTCAGTATCACAAAGTCCGCAGTTATATGTCATTTACCATCGGATAGACACTCCTCTAATGACAACGGCATTCCGTTAATCACACCCTGTTATCATTCCGTTAATCATACCCTGTTATCATTCCGTTAATCATACCCTGTTATCATTCCGTTAATCATACCCTGTTATCATTCCGTTAATCATACCCTGTTATCATTCCGTTAATCATACCCTGTTATCATTCCGTTAATCATACCCTGTTATCATTCCGTTATCATTCCGTTAATCACCCCTGTTATCATTCCGTTAATCATACCCTGTTATCTTTCCGTTAATCAAACCCTGTTATCCCGTTAGTCATACCCTGTTATCATTCCGTTAATCATACCCTGTTATCATTCCGTTATCATACCCATGTTATCATTCCGTTAGTCATACCCTGTTATCCTTTCCGTTAATCATACCATGTTATCATTCCGTTAGTCATACCCTGTTATCTTTCCGTTAATCATACCCTGTTATCATTCCGTTAATCATACCCTGTTATCATTCCGTTAATCATACCCTGTTATCATTCCGTTAATCATACCCTGTTATCATTCCGTTAATCATACCCTGTTATCACCCCGTTAGTCATACCCTGTTATCATTCCGTTAATCATACCCTGTTATCATTCCGTTAATCATACCCTGTTATCATTCCGTTAATCATACCCTGTTATCACCCCGTTAGTCATACCCTGTTATCTTTCCGTTAATCATACCCTGTTATCATTCCGTTAGTCATACCCTGTTATCATTCCGTTAATCATACCCTGTTATCATTCCGTTAATCATACCCTGTTATCATTCCGTTAATCATACCCTGTTATCATTCCGTTAGTCATACCCTGTTATCATTCCGTTAGTCATACCCTGTTATCATTCCGTTAATCATACCCTGTTATCATTCCGTTAATCATACCCTGTTATCATTCCATTAATCATACCCTGTTATCATTCCCTGTTAATCATACCCTGTTTATCATTCCATTAATCATACCCTGTTATCATTCCGTTAATCATACCCTGTTATCATTCCGTTAATCATACCCTGTTATCATTCCGTTAATCATACCCTGTTATCATTCCGTTAATCATACCCTGTTATCATTCCGTTAATCATACCCTGTTATCATTCCGTTAATCATACCCTGTTATCATTCCATTAATCATACCCTGTTATCATTCCGTTAATCATACCCTGTTATCATTCCGTTAGTCATACCCTGTTATCTTTTCCGTTAATCATACCCTGTTATCATTCCGTTAGTCATACCCTGTTATCATTCCGTTAATCATACCCTGTTATCATTCCGTTAGTCATACCATGTTATCATTCCGTTAGTCATGCTCTGTTATCTTTCCGTTAATCATACCCTGTTATCATTCCGTTAGTCATACCCTGTTATCATTCCGTTAATCATACCCTGTTATCTTTCCGTTAATCATACCCTGTTATCATTCCGTTAGTCATACCCTGTTACCATTCCGTTAGTCATACCCTGTTATCATTCCGTTAGTCATACCCTGTTATCATTCCGTTAGTCATACCCTGTTATCACCCCGTTAGTCATACCCTGTTATCATTCCGTTAGTCATACCCTGTTATCATTCCGTTAGTCATACCCTGTTATCTTTCCGTTAATCATACCCTGTTATCATTCCGTTAGTCATACCCTGTTATCTTTCCGTTAATCATACCCTGTTATCATTCCGTTAGTCATACCCTGTTATCATTCCGTTAGTGATACCCTGTTATCTTTCCGTTAATCATACCCTGTTATCATTCCGTTAGTCATACCCTGTTATCATTCCGTTAATCATACCCTGTTATCTTTCCGTTAGTCATACCCTGTTATCTTTCCGTTAGTCATACCCTGTTATCATTCCGTTAATCATACCCTGTTATCATTCCGTTAATCATACCCTGTTATCATTCCGTTAATCATACCCTGTTATCATTCCGTTAATCATACCCTGTTATCACTCCGTTAGTCATACCCTGTTATCTTTCCGTTAATCATACCCTGTTATCATTCCGTTAGTCATACCCTGTTATCATTCCGTTAATCATACCCTGTTATCATTCCGTTAGTCATACCCTGTTATCATTCCGTTAGTCATACCCTGTTATCTTTCCGTTAATCATACCCTGTTATCATTCCGTTAGTCATACCCTGTTATCATTCCGTTAATCATACCCTGTTATCATTCCGTTAGTCATACCCTGTTATCATTCCGTTAATCACACCCTGTTATCATTCCGTTAGTCACACCCTGTTATCATTCCGTTAGTCATACCCTGTTATCATTCCGTTTTAAATCGGACATTCAGTCTTCTGCCAGTTTCTAGTGCAGGTTTATGCACCATAAACATACTACTGGTGAAATATATAGAGTAATCGGTGAAAGGCGCATAATTTGTCACTGACCATTTGAGGGGCGGGGTGAAACGAAGGGTGTTCAAGGGTCTACCGCATTGTGTGGAGGTGAGTGGTAAAATGCTTTATCAAGTAAAATATACAGTATTATGACATTTGGACGACTTAATCCCGCCCTGTTGGAACCGTGAATTTACGGGAGACTATTCCCATTTAAGCCTTTTGAATGTAAATAGTTCTCCTGTGTCGCGATAGTTCTGAATGATGACATTGATACCACCTTTGGATAGATGATATCAAGAGCTAAACATGCTTGAGGTGCCTTCCAAATAACAAGGCAGTGTTGGAATATAGACAAAGGCACAGGTACCTTCCGTATTCTGTTGTCAATAGACGTCGCTGGTCGAGATGGTTTCAGGATCAGGCCGTCAGAATTTACAGATCTGTGGAAGGTGACAATGAATAAATGTACATGTGAGTACTTGGACTGACAGGAACAATGCATCCTAGACATGGGACTAATGTAGACTAAAACTGTGAGTACAAATTATTAAGACATGAGTAAAAAATTATAAAAAATGAGCGAAAATTAGATAACATATGTATGAACAGCAGTAAATAGAGCAGATCAGGAAGGAATAGCCAGTGTTGACTACCCTCAGCAACAAATACTGTTTGGTGTAAAGAACAGGAGCAATACATTATATGATATGGGAGAAACAGTAAATAAGTAAAAATACAAAAGTCCAAATAAAAACAAGTACATATATACATAATGTTATGTATACATTAACATATATCACTGAAAATTAAAATGAATAACTAAAAAAGGAGCGATAGATAACATATGCAACAACAACACATACGAAATACAGAAACTAAAGATACATATATGTGGACTAAAAATGATTACAGAAGTAGGAAATGATACATAAATGAGAGCAAATATGTTTACTAGAGTAATAATTAACCAATATGGAAATATACATGCTTAATACGGGAAAAATAAAGATTACTTAATAAAATTACTTGAGATATCAATAAAGGAGCTTAAGTTTGAAACAAATACAGCATACAAAGGAATAAAATATTCAATACATGAGTAATATTAAGCGAAATTATTTGGTAAGAGATTATAAATGAAAAGTAAAGTGTCTGAGTAAACATATACTGCCATGCATGATATAAACCAAAACAATTGGTAAATGTCTTTGTAAACGTATTCTCTCTATAACATCAACCTACTTCATGATGAGTGTCTTGTTTGTGCCCCCAATCATGTCTCCGATTCCTACTGGGCCTGTACTTAAGGTTGCAACTACGGCGTGAAGGGACGGGACCGGTTCCGTGGTATCTGCAACACAGTTTTAATCAATGGAGCTAAAAGATCAGTTTTCGCAAACGTACTTTAAACATCAGGATGTTATGCTTGTCAAAAATGTTCGTCTTCATAAGACATTCTTCTGGGAAGAAATAAAATGGAATCAATGAATATGAAGTAGCATTCTCCATACTGTAATAATTTCCAGGTTGAACGCTGGTCGTCCAAAAAATATCCTTGAAGGGCGCAATACCAATAGCCCATGCAAATAGTGACGTCACACCGATCTTCCAGTTGTCTCTGCCTGGCCAGTTGTCGTGGCTTGCACGGGCCTGAAACATACAATACTCAGGTTCACATTGTTTAACTTGACAAAGACCATATTTGGTCTGTTTCTTACCGCCATGTATATTTTTAACACCTCAAAGGATTCGCTTGAATGTTAGACAAGACATTGGCATCCAAATCAGCTCCATTGTGTACCCCTTCGTAAGGATCCAATTTTGTGTCACATGAACCAGAATTCTTGCATGGATTGCCAAAAGTAAAACGAGGCATACCATTGATCATCACACAACTGCTGTTATTGAAATGGAACATGAGATGCCGGGCAAGCGTCTTCTGGACCTAAGCAGCAATATTTGAAGCTCTCCATGAAATATAGCTGATATCGACGTACAACCATATTCTTTCTCACCTGTGTGACGACAGGTATTTCCAGAGACTGCAGCATATGTCGCGGGTAGGACATGCAGTACTGGATGGTCAGACCGTTCTTGGCAGCCCCATTCCCCATCTGAGTCAACCATTGCCGGCCAAGGTCAATGTCAGTCATAAGTTTTTGGATTCCTTCAAATTCTTCATTGAGGAAATCCTAAGGAAACGAAACAAAATTTAACAGAAAATAAGCTCTGGTGTTTGATACCTAAAGTTTTCATGTTTGGTAATTAGAGGTATTACCTGTTCATAGGCAATCAAACCCCAAATCCTTCCACCAGCGAGCAAATCGGTCCAAAATCTCTGAAATGTAAAGAGAAACATGTCCGAAGTTTCGTCAGTTAGTGAATATAACATGAAAGAACCCCAATTCCCATCTCAAATGATGGTCAATTAAAGAAGAAAAGGTATTTCATTGTACCAATTTATATGCAATATCTAGTAGCGTGAGTACCTCTTCTAGTGGTAGGGCCTTTGGACCATCGATCAGGAATTCATACTTTCCTCCATTAGCAGTTGCGTAGGTTGTGTTGCTGGACCTGAAATTAAAAAAAAAAGCACAATGAATGAAAACAAATAATAACAGCGAATGCTGACATAGCAAAACTAACTGGAACATGTTTCCGTAGCTATAAATATTTACTCTGAATGGAATAATGTTTGCAAAAGCTAATTCTTAGAGAAATAATTTTAAAGACACATCAAGAATATTGTTTATTATGACGGTCAGGTCATGGTCCTCCTAGTATTTTCACTTTTTCTTGGACTTATTGTGTTTGTTCAGCAAGTACTGATGATAACTAGGGCTCCTTGCCTCTAGGCAGGAGACCTATTGTAATCGTTCGGATTATTATTATGTTTTACAGATTAAAGATAGTATGCAGCAGAGAGGGTTCGGGTGATCCTGGCACAGTCAGGCTGGTAAGGCTCATCATCAGCTCAGGGCCCTTGCCCCCTCTACACACAGCCCAGACAGCGAATGGGACTTCTCCCAGGAAACGCTGCCTAGTCGAACCCACCAAGAACTTTCCGGAGAATATGAAGGCTCCCCAACACTGCAGCCTTCTGCATTCGGATTATTATTATTATTATTATTATTATTATTATTATTATTCCGCCGATTTTTGTACCAAACATAACTCCTAAACCAATGATCCAAATCGCTTACAAAAAATCACACAGATGCGCACTGAGGTGTAGATATTCCCCTTAAAACTCTCTAGGCTCTTGGCCCAATAGCAAAGGGGAAATAATTCAAAATTAATTCCAAAATTTCAACGTTTGACAGCAAATATCTCAAGAACTAATTGTTCCAATACTTCCAAATTTCTTGTACAGATGCACAATCAAATTTCCAACAATTTTGCCTGGACGGGTCAAGTCGCTAAAACGTACCGTTTGGCAGGTATTTTTGTTTTCAGTTTTTGGCCATGTTTCTCAGCACTTTTCTGAGTAGTTTGCTCCCAAAATGTGGTAGCTCCCAGTATGGTAGATGATGTCCCGGTGATTCCAGAACACTAATTGTTTTGAACGTAGGCCCAAGAACAACTGGGATACAGCCTTTTAAAGAGGGAACTATTTCTGCTCCGGAACTTCTTAAACGGTACATGACCCCCGTGACCCCGGCTGTATTTGGAAGATCCGCTCGCCTGTCAAAACACGTGTTCTGGCTCCATTTTGGACGATGATATCTAGCCCTCATATACAATAAATAGAAAGTAAAGCCAAGGAGACCTCATCGTTGCCTGCAACTATATTTCTTTTCTCAGATCTGTGAAAGGTTTATGATTTTGATTTAAATCTTTAAATATAACAATATTGCATATATACAAGTCTGACTCACATATTATAATTCCTTGACCTGACTTACCAGAAGGGGTTGTAGCCAAAGACGGGTAACTCTGTCTTGTTATAGAGCCACCTTTGTCATAGGATCAAGTAAAACAAGGCGAACAATATCACTTAGTTTCAACAACGAAATGTGATAATACAGCGTTATGGTCCCGACAGTGGAATTGAAATATGAAAATATACTCGTTCATTATTGAACATATACGAATCTTGCACAAAAATAACTAAAACGACATATATTTCTGTTGAAGGATATAAGGAGATGATAACTACATTGCAAACAATCTTAATACAGCTTTATGGTCCCGATAGAATATATATCGTCAATTCGTCTTATATACCCACGCCACTTACCTATATCAATGAAACTGCTTATATTGAGGGGCACATATATAGAGACATGTTTATAAGGTTTGTAGTGACAGAGGTTGTTAAGTGATACAAAACGATTTAAAGTTTCACAAGAGCAGACACTGGATTTGCAATATGACACTATACTCGTACATTATCAGACATATATAAATCTTGCACAAAAATAACTATAACAACATATGCGTTTGAAGAAGGAACTTCAATATAAGGATGAAATACACAATGCCAAGCTGTGGAAGCTGCGGTGGCTGAGCGGTCTAGGCGTCTGACTTTGTGTGCTGGCGATTAGGTGCCTGACTCTGAGGGTGTGGGTTCGAATCCCGGATGGGACTCAACCCCCAAAAAGTACTAGAATCTGTACTTTACTAAGAAAGTGTAATCCCAAATATAACATATGTTTCAATAAAAGGAGATGATAACTACATTGCAAGCAATCTTCATATAATGTAGTAGAGTATTACAATAATCATTCAGTTCAAAAGGGAAAAACTCTTACTGCGGTCCATTGGGGAAAATGCCAGGTGGAGACGACCACGTGACAACACCAGGGTGAACGTCTGTGTACCACGTTACGTCATACTGCATATACCTGGCAAGTAAACAACAAGGTCATTGTCCCAGAAGCCCCACCATTCGTCATCCTGAATACACGTATCAAAGTATCAACATGGTTATTCCCTCAGTAGTACCCACTACAATAACGATTTTGAATCAACAGTTTCAAAAGTAAACAATATGACGATTGTTCCATTTATTTTCCAGTGGAAGAAGGAGAATTAATCCCTACACATTAAACATAATGGACATCGATCTCGTCTGATAACATATCTATTAAAAGCATGAGGAAGTCCACTAACCTGATGGGTACCCCTATCTGTACCATGTAGCTCTTGATATCCAACACTGTATCCTGGTAGTTCTTTCCTTCCTCGGGGCGATAACAGTAATACGCCCCTGAATATACAACATGTTCTATTTGGGTGGTTTTGTTCGTCAAGATTTTCAAATATACACGTAATGACAAAATGGCAAATTGTTTTTCCCCTGTACTATGAAAAAATGGTAACGCAAAGGCAACTTTTAAACAAAGTCACTTGTGTATGATAACTCTGAACAATATCAGGTTACACCATTTGTGGAATGCACATTCTACCCAAATAAATAAGTATAGCATTGCTTGTCCGAAGACACTCTGTACATTAGTTTGGTTCAATAATGGACAGGTACAATGTTGAAAATCAAATCAAGGCATATTCAAATCTGCTCACCATTGTCTGTTCCGTACGCTAAATAGTTGAGCGTAAAGTCAGACTTCACATACTGTTCTGTACGGCCGTGCCATTGTTTCAAGATTTGCCCCCAACTTACCATAGCCTGCAAGTATAATAGTAAGTTTCCATACCAAGCTAATTTTCCATGTTATTGGAAAGTGTTGAAGGAGAAATCTGCTTTTGGGCCTTGAAGCTTGCAGAGCCAGATGTTGAAATCGAAACGTGTATATGTATTTACAACAAATCCATGAACGTAACGGAAAGACCAAAAAAGAAAGATGTTGTGGTAACTCATGCTATGTTTTCGGATTCTCTCATATGCTGTTTGCAGCTATTTGTAAATAGGTTGATAGTTACCTTGTTAATTCCTTGGTTACCACAGAAAAGAATAAAACTGGATTCAACGCCAACAGGGACATCTTCAACTCCTCCCATCGTCCCCCAGTAGACATTGTCCCCGCCGGTGCTGGAGTTCTGACGCCATATTGATGACGACATAAACCGATTTGCAGGGGAGATAATCAGTGTATTTGCTGTCTTCACTCGATCAAATATCGTCAAGGGTCCACCCTCGATCCCGTCGTTGATTTTAAATGACGATGGTCCCCATCTTCAGAAAAGGTATACAATAGTTGAAGTTGTTTGAAAATTTAACTACACAACATGTTATTGTATAACACGTCGTTAAATCATATGTTTGCTAGAGATTTTCCACTTATTATTTTGACATGTCACCATGACATCTCCAACCAAACTTTTCAAGTAACGACAACTTATGAAGTGACGACTTGCATACATGAACAGATAGTTGCTGGTAACATACACCATATGTATTTTCTGTCTGAACAGCTGTCATTACCGGTTTATGTGTGGACCTTCCACCTTCATCGTGTTAACATACGAGTACTCACTGTCCTGCCATGAGACCTTTGGATCCAAACATTCATCCGCCATAACTGGGGCATTGTAAACTGATTTACAATTAGTTAAACAACATATTTACAACATATTTACAAGAGATGGTCCACTTGATATTTGGGAGGTAGATGCCGAAATGTTTCTTCTACAGGGATATTGGCGTAATTTAATCTAAAATCGACTGAAGTATACCCGTCTTGAAAAGAAACACTTGCATGCATCTACATGTGCAGTTAGTTCCTGGTGACAATAACGATATTCATTTTCCGACAGAACAACTGAAATAACGGGTTCAAGTGTTTTCTTCAACGCGTAATACTCTCGTATCAGACACCATCGTATGGGTACTTACTGCCCAGCCATGAGACCCTTAAATCCAAACATCAGTCCTCCATAACTGAGGTATCCCAATGGAATGGTTGACTCTTGAATTAGAAATCCAGGAAATCCAGAGATGGTGAAGGCAGTGCTGTTGGAGGCGGTGTTGTTTGCTCCATTGATGTAACGCTGTTTCCATTATTCATGAAGAAAACATGAACGACCTGTGTACTTACAACTTGTCAGCCTGCACTTCAACATTTCAAAACAAAGTAAGTAAGTGAGTTTAGTTTTACGCCGCACTCAGCAATATTCCAGCTATATGGCAGCGGTCTGTAAATACTCGAGTCTGGACCAGACAATCCAGTGATCAACAGCATGAGCATCGATCTGCGCAATTTTTCAAAAAAAAACGTCTTAGGGAACTACATAAAAAGTTATCTTCGACAAAACAGTCAGCTGATCATATTTAATGCTACACTGATGACATGTTGTAGCCAGTGGTGAAACTTAAAATGAAACACAGTGCTTACAGGGCTTGCCTTTACGAATTTTATACTGAAATGATAAACTACATTTACAAACCAAGGCTGAACTTACTCACCTGTTTGAACAACATGAACGGTATGGCAGGATTGTTGTAGGTGAATATGCTTGGATCTGGTGTGTACTGTACAAAGCTGGCCTCGATCTGACTGGACCCTGCCTGGTACAAGAAGCTGTTGGCCTCCCACTGCCCGATGACGTCCACACCACTGGACTGAGTGTTCTTGACCAGCTTCAGAGATCCATCAGCTGAGGAGAACACTTGACCATCAACTCTGAAGAAGGTGGGAGCGCTCTTCAGCCACACATCTCCCTGAACAACGACGTTGTAGGTGCCGTCACTGTTGACGTTCACAGCAAACTCCTGCTTACCCTCGGAGACTGCTGATATGAAAACATCTTTACTATAGAAGTAACGTTTTACTTATTGCTAAGTAAGTTGTGAGAAAGTTAGTACTCCACGATCTCATGGTCAGCGGACGATACAAGAAAAGTGATCAAGAAATAAATCTGATGACGTTTTGTTCCAGCTACAAGAAAGACGTTCAATAGTCAGTGTTTTGGACATGGATGATAAAGTGATTTTTACTCCGAACATAGTGATCTGTAAGAGGCACTGAGTTTGTTATTTGTGAGGTTCATTATTCATTAGTTTTTATCTTAGTTCTAACAATAGTGATTGCCTGCTACAGGAAGTTCATTGGTGAAAGGTATGAGGTATTTTCGTTTTTGAATTCAGGCTAATAGTCCAAAACATATGCTGCTTCACTGCTGTAGCTAAACATGTCCAGAATAAAATAGGAACTGGTTTGTCCATAATGGACCAGAACCTACATTTTCGAAGCTCCCTTAGCGCTAAGATAATCGTTAGTGCCGTACATTAACATTAACTTACGACTATCTTAGGGCTAAGAGAGCTTCGAAAATCCAGGGCCAGGGGAGTAACATTAAGGCTTTTGGCTGTATCCAACCTTACTTACTTTGTGGTTGACATGGTCTATGAATGACAATCCCATTTAATTATACAAGCCTCGCATATAACTATTGTATATGGACTGATGGAAGTAATGTATTATTTAAACACGTACAAACGTACAAGTATATCTTTCAGATCAGATAAAAAGAGCAATTTCTACTCGTTTTATCATATTTATCTCCAAACAAGGAGAGATCTGCTGTTTTCAAAGTGAAGGCTTTGGCTTTTCATGTCAATTGTCAATGTGAGAATACTTACCAGCACAGAGCAACAGAGTCAGAAATAGGTGTATACAGGCCATAATGCACATCTTCAACTGATATCGACTCGCAACCAAATCACATGACTTAGATATCATTTGACTGAATGCACACAAGGTCGTTCGCTATCTGAGATTACATCAGAGTTATGTCAAGGTTGGGTGAATGGTTTGAACAAGTGTCAATTTATAAAGGCATATTTCTGTATGCAACCGTATTGACTGAGTACAGGGACACAACGTTACAGACCTACTGTCTGCATAACTGTTCTGCAACAGCATTCAGCTGGTGCTTAAAGACACGTTAGGGTTTCGGGAAGATGTTTCAATGTCTTGCTTCAATTAATTACCTCATTTTCAAAATCATCATGTTCAGGTCATTCATTGCGGTTGTTTCCGGGTAGCGGTGAGAGTGGAAATATGAGTGCATCTTTCACTAAGTTCTGGACGTTGGTGTTTTCGTTTCACTAACTGAGAAGATCATGATCAGTTGACATGAACTTTAAATGGAAACAGTCTTCTTTCCACCAAAATGAAATCCCATTTATCCGTAAAAGCCTTACAAATAAATATTCCATACCAACTGACAGAAAACTGCATTATTGAGAAACATGTATATTTCTTAAAAGAAAATCAAAACCAAGTTTTGAAAATCATTTGCCCATACATATGTACAAACTAGGAGAGATATACACTTGATGTAATGCACACAATGCTGATATGTATCTGAGATAGCAGAGTTATGTCAAGGCTGGGTGTATAGTTTGGATAAGGGTGATACATTTTAGCCATGCGTGCCAGCAGCCTTGTAACTCAGCGTGATGTCAGGTCAATATGTGTGTTGCAAATAAACAAGAATGACATTAAATGTCATTGCGTTCTGTGTGAAGTTGAAAAAGAATGTCATACGAAATCCAGAATGTATTTTACCACTGTCAGGACTTGTAAGAGGCTTTATTAGCTTGAAGCAAGAGGGAAAATGAATCAAGTGGAAAAAACAAGACTTGACTACATACAATGCAAGCTGCAGTCACGTTATTTAACTATTTCGACTGCCATGCTTATGAATGAAATGCTATTTCAGCAATTCAGATTTATTGGACGTTTGACATTAGATGCATTTATATTGTTGTCTTTTATAATTTTGTATTTCACCATATGATTATGAGTGAGTGAGTGAGTGAGTTATTATTTAACGTCACATCGGCAATATTTCAGCCTTATCATGACGAGAACACTTGACATTGAAAAAGAATATATATAGAGATTATAAAACCTGCCGACAAAGGACAGTAAAGCAACTAGAGTATAACAGATATATATGTAAAACTAGTGCATGCAAGTGTTTCTTTTCAAGACGGGTATACTTCAGTCGATTTTAGATTAAATTACGCCAATATCCGTGTAAATGAAACATTTCGGCATCTACCTCCCAAATATCAAGTTGACCATCTCTTGCAAATATGTTGTAAATATGTTGTTTTACTAATTGTAAAGTCCACACATAAACCGGTAATGACAGCTGTTCAGACAGAAAGTACATATGGTGTATGTTACCAGCAACTATATCTGTTCATGTATGCAAGTCGTCACTTCATAAGTAGTCGTTACTTGACAAGTTTGGTTGGAGATGACATGGTGGCATCATCATTTAAAATCAGAGGCGGGATAGAAGGTGGGCCCCTGGCGATATTTGATCGAGTAGAGACAGCAAATACACTGATTATCTCCCCTGCAAATCGGTTTATGTCGTCATCAATATGGCGTCAGAACTCCAGCACCGGCGGGGACAATGTCTACTGGGGGACGATGGGAGGAGTTGAAGATGTCCCTGTTGGCGTTGAAACCAGTTTTATTCTTTTCTGTGGTAACCAAGGCATTAACAAGGTAACTATCAACCTATTTACAAATAGCTGCAAATAGCATGTGAGAGAATCCGAAAACATGGCATGAGCATCTTGGCCTTTTTGTTACGTTTATGCACGTTACGTTGTTTCAATTAAATATACACGTTTCGATTTCAATATCTGGCTCTGCAAGCTTCAAGACCCTAAACCATATTTCTCCTTCAGTGCTTTCCAATAACACGGAAAATTAGCTTGGTATGGAAACCTACTATTATACTTGCAGGCCATGGTAAGTTGGGGGCAGATCTTGAAACAATGGCACGGCCCTACAGATCAGTATGTGAAGTCTGACTTTACTCTCAACTATTTAGCGTACGGAACAGACAATGGTGAGCAGATCTGGATATGCCTTGATTTGATTTTCAACATTGTACCTGTCCATTATTGAACCAAACTAATGTACATGGTGTCTTCAGACAAGCAATGCTATACTTATTTATTTGGGTAGAATGTGCATTCCACAAATGGTGTAACCTGATATTGTTCAGAGTTATTATACGCAAGAGACTTTGATTAAAAGTTGCCTTTGCATTACCATCTGTTCATAGTACAGAGGAAACCGCCCGAAAAGAACAAACTGTTTATTCAGGGGCGTATTACTGTTGGCGCTCCGAAGAAGGAAAGAACTACCAGGACACAGTGTTGGATATCAAGAGCTACATGGTACAGATAGGGGTACCCATCAGGTTAGTGGACTTGCTCATGCTTTCTATATATATGTTATCAGACGAGATCGATGTCCATTATGTTTTATGTGTAGGGATTAATTATCCTTCTTCCACTTGTTGGGAAATAAATGGAACAATCGTGATATTGTTTTGAAACTACTTTTTTTAGCTGATAAAAATCGTTATTGTGGTGGGTACTGCTGAGGGAATAACCTTGTTGATAATCTGCTACGTGTATTCAGGATGACGAATGGTGGGGCTTCTGGGACAATGACCTTGCTGTTTACTTGCCAGGTATATGCAGTATGACGTAACGTTGTACAGTGACCTTGACAATGGTGTTGTCACGTGGTCGTCTCCACCTGGCGTTTTCCCCAATGGACCTCAGTAAGAGTTGTTCCCTTTTGAAATGAGTGATTATTGTAATACTCTACTAAATTATATGAAGATTGCTCCCAGATTGTATCACCTATTTCAGCACGGCTCCCTTGGGAGCTGCATAAATCGCCTTACACGCACATGCCGCGCGTCGTTGGATAGCTGTGTCCTGTAGCTACACGGAGAATGTTCCCGTTTGTTTTTATGCAACTTTATAGCCGAGCAATTAAGGTTTCTGTGATTTTAAGCTGTGCGTTTTTCTTCCACGTAGGCCCCGGTGGAAGAAATTTGTTCCACTCAGCCTCCGGTGGAAGTCGCCTGCGCCATTGCATTTTGCAAGCCTTCTGCTTTGTCATATCTATGCATGTTATACGTTGTTGGAAACCTGAGGAAACGCTCTCTCCAAATATGCAAACGTGAATACTGTGCTGCCCCAGGTAACAAGTCCAGATTGAAACTCCGACGTGATGTTTTGTGTAATTTTACTGAAGTTCAATTCTTCTGTGATATAGCAATTTTCGCCAACATCGCGCAGTCACGATATAACGGCTACTATTCTTACACATCACCTCAGAATATACATTTCTATAGCACGTTTGAAAGCCTATTAAGGCGTGTTTTAGACAATGTATAATACGCACATGTTGCACATTCAGTGGTGGAGCTATATAAGTATTAATGTGCGAACTGCAAAATATATGGGACGTGATATAGATTGGCGGAATTTAGATGAATCTGTACACCGGCTATACCGGCGGTGTTAATATTTACATCTATAGTGCATGTGTAAGATCATTCATGTGGGATTCTGGGAATATGTAATATGTTGTTGTGCAACATTAGATAGTTTAGCAATACAGAAATGAACATGCTTGACAGAACTAAAAAGTACAATAGTTTGGAATCTAACCATAACAGCAATACCTGTAGTGTTAATATTTATACTGTTAGTGTACCGGAAAGCCCTTGAAAATGCGGTTCTGCCAAGGTATAATGTGCATTCGAGTCACACCTGATAGTCGGGCTATGCGCGCTATATGTATTTTGCTGATACCGGATCAAATCTATGATCTGGCGTGCATGCTCCGTCGGCCCGTCGGCGTTATGACAGCTATACTTTATCACAAAAGCCGCCTCTATTGTCACTTAATTAGCTTTATATCACACTCTATATATCACATTTACGTATCATCATTGTTTTTGTATAACGTCTGTTTGACCTGTGCTCATGGATTCGTTGTATATACATGCACATCTCTAGTTTCCTGTAAATCTAATTATCACTTCATTAGCTGTATATCACTCTGCTGTGTTTACTGTTTAGTCTGAGGCGTGGCAGGTAATTGCCGGAGATGTACCACTAATCAGCAAATTTAATTTCGTCACCGTGGAGATTTGCTCACGTTTTGTTAATATCACTTTGCCTGGGCCACCTCCTTTTGATAAGCAGCTTTGTCATGTTATAATCTTGTCGCCCGACTGATTTCAACCTTGTGCATAGAATGCTTGGTTTTCTTTGGCATGGGCAATTCACACCTTTTGGCGTGCCCTTGCCCTTCCAAATGGACGTCATGCATAGAATGGAGATGGGCAATTCACAATTTCCTCCTCTCCCTTAAAAATATCCGACTTGGTCACATGACAGTGAGCTTCATCTAAACCATTCCATTGGCTATCTTGCTGGGACGTGGTAATATAACTGAATGCTCACAATATCATCATCACAGACCGAGTGTCTTAGTGGACGATTACCAGTCGGCGTTGACGATCCCTATTGGCAAGTGAACTTTACTTTTATTACCTTTTGCTTGTTTTTAATAAGTCATCTACGCTGCTCAATATATCAAACTGATACATAGCATAAATAGGGTTCTTACAATATCCAAGTACAAAACTGTGACATCAAGGCCCTTTTCTGTAGCTCCCAGAAACATAGTACAGTGAATTTGTGCCAATATGCCTTCCACAAATGTATCAGTGGTTTGTCAAAAGTGCAAAACATATTACAAAGGCGTTGCGCATTTAAAAAAATGTTATCCTAACAGTTCTATTGCTGCTATAAACGCCATTCATGCCCAAAATCGCCGCCAAAGCGAGTCTTATACCGCTACTCAGCTTGTGTCCATGTCGGCTCTATTGGCTTTTGTGGCACATTCACAACAAACAAAACCCAAATCCCTGAGTACATCAGGGTACTAAAACACTTTGGTCACACAATACAAGGAGAGGACGCACCTGTAGCCTCTCCTTCAAATAATAATCCAATGCCGAGTACCAGTACTGGTTTAACTGGGTCGACCAGAAGTGGTACTCGGTATAATTACCAACACAACTCAGTCAGGGCTAATCTAACTAACTCTGGCTTATATGATAGGTTCCCTGAAAATGAACCCACAACTTTCAGGGTTTAACATGTCCCTCGAGTTGGCCCGCTTCCAGAGCACAAGACGTTTCTTTAAACCCAACGAGGGAAATAAACGTAGGACATTTACAGCCACGGATGTTCGAAAAGCTTTGGAGACTGAAGTGGCAAGGCAGCATCCCAATGATGCTGCAAAACGTAAGATGGCCAGTGACTATCTTGCACATGGCCAAAAAACAGTAAGTAAATACTACGCTAAAAAAACACCCTTACAGGCTGCTAGTGAGTGTGCATTTGTAGAGGGTGTCATCAAGCAAGCAGCTAGTGCATCAAACGTTGAGGAACCTGCCTCGGCGTCCATTCCAACAGCCACCCAGCCCCAGCCCCAGCCCCAGCCCCAGAGCCCCAGCCCCCCCAGCCCCAGCCCCAGCCCCAGCCCCAGCCCCCAAACCCTGAAGGTAGGGGGAAAGGGAAAGGCAAAAGTAAAGGCAAAGGCAAACTCATCAAGCCCAAAAGGTAATAAATTAGGTGGATAGTGGAAGGTAGGGGGAAGGGAAAGGTAAAAGTAACAGGGAAAGATGATCAAACCATAATCAACTATAGGCTAGAAGTAATAGGATATAACCTGTAATTCCATAACCTAATGTCAGTTTTGACCCATTAGGTTTATACAACAGTAGTAAAGGGGTTCGCTGTTCGAACTTGCTGTTGTGGGAATGGTGCAGGAAAATGAAAATGGCACTCTTAAAAGAGCAACCTCCACGTGGTGAGTGCTGGTTAATACGAATAGCTCTTTAAATGTTTCTTTGGGGTGGTTCCGACGAGCTATAAATCATCATTGTGCAACTTATTTGATATGTAGACGTACGTGTATTCCGTAATATTTATCATGCATTTATATGAATATTTATATTTATATTATATGTTTAAAAGGTCTCTTTTTTCAGCTATAATGTCTATATCCACGGTTCGACTTAAATATCTATAATGCATATGAAAGCCCTTTCCATATGCACATTTGTGACGTTGTGCAAAGGTACCAGTCTTGTCCGTGTATAATGGTCATTTCCATGTCCCATGCGCTATTGGCGGAAGATGTATTCTGTCATAAATTCATTATGCATAGATTGATTCTTAATATCTATAACGCATTTGAAAGGCCTTTCCAGTGCGCTTCGAACGACGTATAACATGCACATTTGTGACGTTGTGCAAAGGTACCAGTCTTGTCCGTGTATAATGGTCATTTCCATGTCCCATGCGCTATCGGCGGAAGATGTATTCTGTCATAAATTCATTATGCATAGATCGATTCTTAATATCTATAACGCATTTGAAAGGCCTTTCCAGTGCGCTTCGAACGACGTATAACATGCACATTTGTGACGTTGTGCAAAGGTCTTGTCCGTGCATAATGGTCATTTCCGTCCGTGTCCCATGCACTATCGGCGGAAGATGTTTTCTGTCATAAATTCATTATGCATAGATCGATTCTTAATATCTATAACGCATTTGAAAGGCCTTTCCAGTGCGCTGCGAACGACGTATAACATGCACATTTATGACGTTGTACAAAGGTACCAGTCTTGTCCGTGTATAATGGTCATTTCCGTCCGTGTCCCATGCGCTATCGGCGGAAGATGTTTTCTGTCATAAATTCATTATGCATAGATCGATTCTTAATATCTATAACGCATTTGAAAGGCCTTTCCAGTGCGCTTGTAGCGATATATAACATGCAGATGTGGAGTATTTTCCAACGGTGCTACACACATCTGAAAATGCCGCCGTCTGTGGTGTTCGTGTCACCTGCGCCATCAGCAGATGTAGTGTTCCGCTATAATTTATATGGCCATGGTCCGATTTTCAATATGTCTAATGCAGTCGAAAGCCCTCGAAAGTACGCTCTTAACGACGTATAACTCAGACATGTGCGATGTTCTGCTGAGACGTTACGCACGTCGGTTTATACCGCCGCTTCTTGTGTCGTCGGCCTTTCTAATGCGCCCTTGTTCAGGCTTTGCCTTATCGCGTCTTTGTTTGCTTCTAACTCCGTTATACCTATCTGCAACAAACTTGTATTGGTATCATTAGAAAGCTCTTTTGACGTCGGCGACGGTGGTGAACGCAAAATTAAAATATATATTGTACAATTTGTTTGTAAAAATCGTCATTTTTTGCTATACTTCTGCAGGAAATCCTATATAACTTCTCCGTCCAAAGTTAGAATGGCGGAGGTGCATGCAAAAGGGCGTTTTTCTAACCCTTCAAATAAAGTATTTATTAACTTTTTAAAATGCATAGTACTCTCAGGCGAAAGTCTAACAATCCAACGTATTTACGGGGTATTCTTTATATGGGAACAAGAGCCAGGCTGGCCACTGGCTCAGATATTTGCCTATGTTCCCGGGCAAGACGATGCGACGGGCACGGCGATGTGAAAATTGCGACGCTGCCCTCCACGTCTGCCCACGGAGGTCGCAAAGTTGGGGGACCCGAGGTAGTGCATAGCGGGATAATTCCGACCTCCACCATGATCAAACTTTTGGTTGCCTTGGTGCTTAGCTTGTGTAACGGCGCGCGACGTTGCTCATGCTATTCATCATTGGTTCTCCCGAAGATGCTCGATGCGGCCATGGTGTAGCAG